TAGAGAGAGAGAGAGAGATTTATATTATAATATTCTGTTTTGTTTCTCGCAATTTTTGGGTATAATTAAATTTAAACATTTTAAGAAAATTTTCAGTTTACAATAGTCAATATAAAATCAAAATAACATTTTAAAAATCTTAATTATTGTTATCCATGATTGAAAATATCTATAAGAGCATTTGATGAAGTATCGTGACACGACACATTCTGTTTTTATTAAAAATCTTAGAGAAGTCTTATAAAATTATCTTGATAATCTTATAAAATTTGTTCTATTATTATATTTCAGTCGTGTTTAAAAAGATTTCCGTTTTATATCTTCATGATTGATAATATAAAATTGACACATAATAGCAATAATACTAATAATAAAGAAAACAAATTTTTTTTTTTGGAAGGCATTCCCCTTTGTTGTCATGCTAGAGTTCATATAGCTATATAGGTCAAATATATAAACCATAAACAGATATCTGCTTTGAAACATTGATACGGTATAAAATGTAAACATAAATACGTTAGTCGTCGACGTAATTTCGTAACACGAAGGTGGACACGTTTCGTTCCTAATCAAAAAGTGAATGCGCTGTGCGTAGATCGTGCCAATGAACCTTGCGAGTGATACAAGTGCATTTTATACTGTACGTCATTTCTTCTAACGCAACAGAATCTAAATATAGCGAACGGACGTCATTTTAATGTCAAATGACATCAAAAATTCTGGAATAATGTAAAATATTCTGTCTTCTTTCTAACTTAATAACCGAGATTCCACTAGGTAAGATTCAAAATAGAGTGAAAAAATCGATTCTTCTAAATTCTCTTGACTTTGATAGAATGCAAGATTTTCATAAATTATTCAAAATTTGGAGATAATAATAATAATTTGAAGATAATAATTCTAAATTTTAATAATATTTATAATAATTTTTAATAATATTTAATAAATTTAGAGAGATATTATAAATATTATTTATATATTCTTGTCTTATGATATGTATATACTTATCTTTTATGCGTATATAATTAAACATTGAAACTGACTTTATTTTGATACAATTTTTTTTATACGGTTACCCCTCTATCGAGATTTGACTTTATTTTATAAATTACTGACATTTTTGGCCACACATCGTAAACTATTAATAACCATCAATAATGCTGTATCTATCAAAACCATTGACATTTCAACCACATCATTATAGTTATAGAAAGAAGCATTGTTAATGAATTTTTTTTTGCGAAAACAATATGAATTAGTAAGCTATTATGTATATGTCATACATGTTAGTAGAAAATTATTGCAACGATATTTTTGTTAAAAGGATACGTGATTGTAAAATAAATTGCGGAAGAAATATATTACTTTCAAATAATGCTCCGCAAAAATAATATATATGTACGTACAAATAGACTACATTGTCAAAAATATGAATCAAGAATTATTCGCAGAATAATATTTTCATGTTAAAGTAATGTGAGTAAACAAAAAAATACGATATGTTATGTAATCGTAAAAAAAAGATATGTTGTATCTTTATCAAAGTAGCAAAAATTTCGTAAAAAAGATAAATTATATTATGTAAAACATATTAAAAATTTATAGTCGTATTATTAAAAATAATCGCATAATGACATTTTTGCGTTCAAATAGTACACAAACGAGATCCAACATGCAATACATCGTGATATCTTCAATGTCATGATCATTGTTAAAATTATTGTCTTCCTCCATGTAGGTTTTTTAGTATGATGCGCATAGAATACAGGAAAAATTATTCTACTGACGAATTAAATAATGAAATTCATAAACAATGATATTACTCTTGGGAATTACCCATATTTCCCATCTAATGAATGGCATTTACATCTTGACGCGTTTATTACAGATAAACGCGGAAATAAAGCATTAAAATATGAGTTAATGTAGCCACGACGGTTTATTAATTTATCAGTCGTCGACAAAATGAATGTTTCGCTTATTTTTACTCGTTTTATTTCATATAAGGAAAATTTATCCACGAATGGATGACGATTGTTTTTGCATCATGTTGGGCAAAGTTGCGGTTACAGATCATTGCATAAAAACGAAACGATACCGCAGAGATGCAACAAATTCAAGGCTGCAATTATCAAACATGTGTGTAAAATCTCTTTTGTGTGATATGTGTTAATTAATTTTATATTAAATACATCGTGTAAAAATGAAAATTGAATGCTAATTTTAATAAGATATAACTCAGATAGCTATATTCTTTGACTATTCTATTTAACGTCAAATATATACTATTTTGAGGATTTTCTTACAGAATTATCTATAAATCTTTGTAGAATATTCTTGTGTTAAAAGAATATTTTATAAATCTGCTTAGAACATTGTATTTAGAACGATCTCATTTTGATGTTCTATGTAAATTCATAAATTGTTTTTTTTTTCACTTTATTAGAATATTCAAATATTCACTAAAGGATATTTATAGAATGTTTATAGAATACGTTTGTGGTATTTGAAAATCTCAGTAATGTAGTAAAAATAGAAGCTTATTAGAGATCAAGATTATCTTGCAGGATTTTCACAACAAAAGTTGTCGCAATACGCGACGATTTTGCAACAGTATTGTGACGACGTCACGAGAAATGTCACGAGAATCTTGTAAAAGTATTTGTCGTTAAAAACGTTAGAAGAATAATCTCTTTGCAAGAACTTATGAGTAATATCATTGTTTACGAATAATGTCATTGTTTAATTAGTCAATAGAGCAGCTTTTCGTAATTATTATGCAGAATATTAGTTCTTTGAAGAGTTCGTATATTATATTATTTGTGTGACGCATTGGATTCCAAGGCGATCGGCTTAATCGCTGTTTATGCGCGAAATTTGGAGCACGTGCTTTCGCTTAGAGGTACTCGTTACGTCAACTTTCTCGTGTTTAACAAGATAGATAAGGATGAGTCATAAAATATTAGAATGATCGACAGGATCTATAATTGCATAAATTGATCCAAGAACTTATAAGACAAGAAGAACTGAGAAAACGGTTATATTGATAAAAGTATTTTAATGTGTTAATATGTCGCATCAAAGTATCCATTTACAGACGTAGTTTTGCTTCAATTTTATTGAAAATTAGAAGAGGGCGATAAAAAAAAATCTATTTTAACAATTTCTTGTATAATAATTTTTTTCACATTTAAATAAAACATCTTATTTTAATCGTTTCTCGTGATAGCTGCATATCAATCTTTATATTCAAATTAGAAGAAAAAGAATGGTTTTATTTCATTTTATTTTATTGCTTTTTATCTATTTTTTACCTATTTTTATATTTTAAAGTTCAATATCTATCGTTATTGAATAGATTATTTTTAAACGCTTTAAATTGTATATTTTTAAAGAATAAAATAAAATAATGTATGTATATATTATGATAAAATATATAACAAAGAAACAAATTATTAAAAAATCAAGGAATGATTGGAAAAGATAGTGTACTCTTTAACTGGTATTCAATTCAGCTCTGTGCCTAACAATCTCCAGTATTTCTAAATGGGTCGATTCGATATGGATTTATTGTCGAACCGCGAAGTACTCTGGCACGACTAGTGTTATCAGATTGGCAGATCAACTGAAAGCACGTGACCGATTAAAATGCCGCAAAACAACGAGATTACCTTGAAATCTCACTGTTGGTATGGGTGCGAAAATGACTGAACCACGTCTGTCTCTGCACGGGACCGGTCACGGGACACTCACATAATTGCATAAGTGTAAATATTTAATGAAATTGATATAGCAGCTAGCAGTGGTTCTCAATATATATTTAATTTTTTCAAAAATTTAGAATTTTACAATTTAGAATTTGTTTGTCATTTTTTATTTTTCACGCAATTCAATTCGATATTCTCTCAAGAAAAATAATTTTTCGAAAAATGCTTAAACTTCAATGAAAAGTTTCGAAAAGATCCGATTTCTAGCAAGATTAAATCCGAAGATTTTTTATATCTCTTGAATAATGATAAGATTAAGCCTTAATGTCATATTGGCGAAAGTTTTTAATACGTTGATTTATATCGGAAATCTTGCGGCGACTTTTCTTTTACAGAACGTAAGGCGTTACAAGTCAACGAATCGTCAAATAAGTTATAAATCATATTTTTTAATTGAATATCAGCATAACACATATTAATTTATACGCGCAGTTAACAAGCGTTAATCGCGCAAAACCCGTGATCAATAAAGATGATTTACGAGCGTAGTGTCAATATTTATTGTAATGAATGGTTGATTAGGGATACGGAAAAATTTTAACTGAGCGATTAATCATTTCGCTAAAACAATATGCCGCGGAAATATATTACATCAGGGATTCTCAACTTATTGCAACATTCCGGACAACCAGTGTTACGTAAAAATGCAATTAATTAACACAATTATAAAGATATGAAATGCATAGGCGTTATATCAAATATATATTTTTATGTTATTATAATTAGATACTAATATATAAAATAAATCTTTTCAAAAAAAAGATCGAGACTTTTTCAAAATTGTTTTAATTAGCAAATGAGTATAATAAATTAGAAATTAATTTATATAGAATTAAAAAATAAATTTATATCAAATAAATATATTTAAATTTATATCAAATATTGTATTGTGTGAAAGAGGAGAACACAGTAATTTTAAACGGTTAATTTATTCGAAACCTTTTTGAATAATAGCCATTTGTAATCCAGATTTCTTATTTATTTGATTTTGACACTTTATTCTTCGTATCTGATATTAGTCGAGATAGATACATAATAGAGATACATCCCTATTGTTAAATATTAGATTCAGCGAGACGAAAATATGTTTACCTAAAAGATACCTCATCGCGACAAACGCGAAAACAATTTGCGTATAGTTTATATCGATGCTGAACAATTTATTTACATTATCAACTAACTTTATCGATGATATGAGCATCAGTATCTGGCCTAATTGTCAATGTAATTGTTTACATTACTGGCTAAACCAGGATAAGGATTTTATCTAAATATTGATAACTTCCAAGATATAAGATATTTTGTAATTTATCGAAATATTAATGTAAACCTTGAAAAATAGTATTGCGTAAAGATGTATAAAAAAAAAAATCTATCGTTGCATAAAATATTTGAAATATTGAATGAAAATATGAAGCGTCTCTGATTAGTTAAAACTTGCGCTGTAGTTTTACGTCTGTCGCATCTACGTGATGGATTTCTTAAATAAATATATTTTTGTCTCGTCAAATCTACAGTATTTAACAACAGAGAGATGATACAATCTCGACTGTTATCATTGACTAATACAGATATGAGATGTCAAAACCAGGAAAACAAAAAGTCTAGACGATAGAGTCATTGCATGTGTACATTGTTTTATAATAAATATCAATTAAAACTTGTTTTAATTATATTTTTATTCTAATACTTTTTGCTTTAATTATTACAGATTACAAGTGTGATGAGCAGCCTCAAATTTCATGAAAATCAGTAAAGCGGTAGGAAACAAGATACATAGAAAAAATCCATTTTAATTTGTACAGATTTATATCATTGTCCACCTAGTTATATCACTTTCTTTATTAACATCCAAATATATTTTTCTCGTGATTTGCAGAAAACAAATGTAATCGATATATCAATCTATCACAAAGACTGTAGCATCTTATCTGTTGAATGAAGAAAAATGCGCGTGATAAGACATCCATTAATATTTTACAACAATTAAACATTCGGGGAAACATATACTATCGATGGATCGAAAGTAAGTTTTTACAAATTAATTCGGTATCGGAAATTCAGTCTTATCGTAATATTTTTCACGATTAATTGCTAGAAGTGACGGGTATTAATCGAAAGCTCTTTATCTCATCGTAATAAATACTGTTTACCCAATGCAGTCAGCGATACAGATTACCTGAACGACGGAAGAACTCATGAATCTAGGCAAGGTTTAGCAAGATAGCTGTTCGGGAATTTTTAAAACTAACTCGCACAGATATGCGGTGGGATTTAAATGCTAAAATATTCTAAGCAGGAGAATATCGTATAGAGAGAATATTATATTGTATAGGAGAATATTAAATCGTTAGCATGTGATCGGTGACCGAAGCCGCGACCAAGTCATCATGTGACGATTACTGTTCTCCACGTCATCGCGGGGGAGGCTGAGGTCGTTCAGGAGAGAGGGAGTTCGCCCCATTCGTGAACCACGACGCGTTTAAATGGCCGGCCGCGCGTCGATTCCAATTCAGTTTCGCCATTACACCGCGAAAACCGGTCTGAAATCTCGCATACCCCCGTGTGATATATGAATATATACTTATTGTAGATCTTTCGGAAACATCTTTCTTATTTTTGCGTTTCGTTTTCGATGATTCCTGTGAATATAAGTTAGTAATAGCAATAATAACTGGAGAGACAGAATCGGAAGAAAATTGAACATTTATAAAAAGAGAATCGGAAATTATAAGAATTTCTCGTAATTTGCAAAAAGCATTTAAAGCGAATGTTTCTTTTCTTTTGTGACAAATGCTTTTTGCCGCTTTGACAAAGCGGCATTGAAAATAAGCGCTTTAACGAAGCGCGATGATGTTTCGAGCTAGCAGAGAGAAGTATCCTCGGGATTGAACGTGAAACCCGAATTTCTTGATAAAGAAAACTGCGCTTTGGCGTTTTGTGATTTTTCTTCTCCTTGCAAGGACAATCTTCGAGAACAAAAACGGATCTTCTTCAAACCAAGTACTTAACAAATACTAAAGTAAGTGTAATATCTGTTATGTCTCCTTTTATCTTTATCTGTTTCTATACAACTATTAGACGTATTGAAATGAAAATTTTTATCAAAAAAAATATCAAAAAAGATTATAATTTATCTCAATTTCTGAATTTTATTTTAATCTTGATGATTGTGCTTAGAAATAAAATTTTGCAATTTAAAGATGTAAACTTGCTTATATTCGATATAAAAATTTATTATAAATTTATTATTTACAGTTTAATCGAAAACATGATTTTATGTGTAAAACTTGATGATGAATGTAAATGAAGTAAAAAAGAATAAGATGCTTTGTAGAATAAATTTTCATAATTACGAGAATCTATGATATATATGTAATATTGGCATAAATGTATATACGCAAAATCATCAGCGCGGTGCGAATTTATTCGCAAGAAAAAAAAAGTGAAAAATCATTCTGTTTAATGTTTGATAGCGTTTGATTATGTTAATGAAATTGCAATAATCGTGAAGAGATTATGAATAAAATCCTATTACATGAAACATCAAATAAATTTTCAGTCACTCGTCTACTCTTCAATTCATTGGGTTTTCAAACTCGATTTAACGCATATAATTTGATTGCTCATAGTAAATTTCTTCACAAACTTTGTTGATAGTTTTCTGTCTGTTTGCGACGGTCGTTTGCTCTTCGCGATAGAAGATTTTGATCGAAAATTATATTTTAAATGAGAATTTCTTGTGATTGATTCTCGATTGACTTTTGCAAAGAGTTACGACAATTCGCGTATAATAGTTAAAATTCAGAGACGATAATAATTAATCCTCTATCGATTTGCATAATCTAAAATCAATCTATCTGTTTACTATTTATGTAACTTTTTAGTATCGTGTACAGCCTAATTTATACCTACTCCAATTCAGATAAACTTTGGTAGACCTTGTGATATATAAGAGAATGTCACTGCCAAAGTGATAAGCGATCTAATACATGTTATGCATTACTTTTATCAATTGATGATCTTTTCTCTTGTAAATAATCTGATTTGACTAATGCTCATTAATGCAACAAAAGCTAGATAATGCAGATATACATTCAGGAAGACATAGCGTATCAACGGAGCAATGCATGTTTATTAAACGAAGTTCAACACGTGATTCAGAATTTATGCGGCAAATTGCATATTTTAACGAACGTATATACCAACGTGTTATAATATTATTAGTATATTCATGATAACATAATTATCTATATAGATTATCTACATTAAGAATACGATAAGTGCACACGCACAGACACAGAGCAAAATAAATGTCATTTAATGCAAGAGAGACAGAAAATGAAAATTCATAATTTATTAACTACTAAAAAAAACATTTTTTGTTGATACACCATTTTGAAAAATTAAAATCATTGCTATCGGTATTGAGTTAAAAACTAATCAAATATGCAAATTTATGATATCGTCGTGGAAACCCCCCTTTTATCTATCTCAAACAATGACGTAATTCTTCCGGTAATCGTATTCCTAAGATCGTATAATTATCGTTTACTATACATATAATTACGGTTGTAGATACATATTAGAAAAATTTTCTGCCAATAACCTTCGTGACTGCTTTTAGAATTTTAGACGATAAACATATGATGTAAAGCGGGACAAATTAATTATTAATATGATAAGCAGTTTTGATATGATATATTTCTTCTTTTTCGGCTTCGATCGGTAGCACTTGCAGTAATTAATCATCTTCGAATCATACAATTGAAATATACATTCGAAATATACAATTGAAACAATTGTATACGGTTTATAAATATCATATATTTTTACACGAAAAATGTAGAAGTTCGATATTCTTTCCAAGTGTGATTCTTATCAATTGTTTTAATTTTAGAAATATATATATTTTTGTATCAAAAAATATAATTAAAAAATCAATAAAAAAGATTATTTTCTTTGTACACATATACAAAACACATAAATAATATCAAAATAAGAGAAAATTAACAATTTGAATTGAAAAACGTTTTAATAGATGACTTTTTTGCTAGAATTACATCACATCATTTTTTTTATTAGAAACAATCAGCGCAGACAGATATACTTTACTTTTATTTCCTTTTAAGATTGCCCTAATTGCTTGTTAAAGTATACATACGTATATGTATTATGTGTGAATCACAAATTTCATATCTGCGATCAGTACAAAAAAATTACAAGGATGTCTGATGTATTACTCAATATTTACGATAATTGAGCAAACTGCCACTTTTCTCGCGGTTCTCCAACATATCGCTGGATAAAGAGATAGGAAAAGACGCAAAGAAAATTTCGCAAAATGGATATCATTGCAAGAAATATACGTGTATTATTGTTGCATGATCGTACAATAGACTTTCTTGACTTTTAGAAAATGCAACTTGTAAGCAAACGTCAATATCAGCGAAACAATCAAACAGATAGAATGACGCCAGCCAATCGAACCCATTTATAGTAATTGCAACTTTTAACGATAAATTAATTCTATCGACAATCAAATGTAACTGTTTTAATCGGCAGATTGTACTTTGTACATATGCAACGATACATTTTATCTTATTTTATTTTAACAAAACGTAGAGTCTTTTTTTAAAGATTTTGTTGAACTTGAAGATACTTATCGAAAATTATTATCTGAAAACATTAAACAAACGATGCTTCTTAATAATATACCCCTAATGTAATAGTAAAATTGCATGATAAACTGATTAATATTATTTAACATAAATAATTTTAAACAATAATTCTTTTTTCATTTTTTTCTGTTTTCATAAAATTATAATGTGTATATGTAAAAAAATCATCAAAAAAACTGCGGTTAAATTAATTACAATTGATTAATGTACTACATAAATAAACACAAAGACGTTGATTAAACTGATTATCGATTTCAGAATATAATAAAACGAAAAATAGAGAAGCATATTAAAAAATAAAATTTATCAGTTGATTAAATTTTTTGCGATTATCCATATAATTGCAATAATTAATGCAATTTTAATGTCGAAATAAAACCTAACCAGCAAATATCTCTGTGCAATAATAGCTTAAATTATTTTATTAAGCGAATTTTTCTATGATAAGAAAATATGATATTAGATATGTAGTTTACAAGAGCAGGAAAGAACAAAAAAATTTTGCTAGAAACATTTTATCATTAACTTAATTTAACAAAAATTAAATTAAAAACATAAAGATTGGAATAAAATAATTTAAAATTAGAAAGAAACAAACTACAAATGTGTTATTATTTCGAAGAATCTCTTAAATATATCTTGAAACTCAATGCATATAAATAATGGAATTGTAATTTTCTTATGGTTTTAAAAACTAAGTGGATGAGAGTTTTAATTTTTAATGTTTAATAACGCGAAGAGATAATATCTGGTGGGGCCAAATGCACAAATATACGCCTAAATGTCTCGTGGTTGGAAAGTAATATCGATCTGTGTCCAGGACGAGATACAAGATTGAAAAAAGTTATGAAACTGCGCATCTTACATAAAATAGGGGCAATAGCCATTACGATAACTGCTTTCACGTAACGCAGTCGGTGAATCGAGGGCTGCATTCGCGTTGCATTTGCTGCATTTAAGCGATGCTGTTAGCGAAAAAGAACCAGTGATCATATATTAAGAAAAGCAGCTTAGATAAATAAAATTATATCTTATTCAAAAAAATATTGGGAAAAATTAAACAAATAAAATATTTATGTAATGAATTTTGTCGATAGAATTGGATTAATAATTATTGAATCATTGTAATGTTACATTATGTTACATTACTTAAGTAATTTACTCGATTATTTTGTTATTTTTCAATAGAACAGAAATAGTTATCAATTTTATTTATTTAAGACAGTTTTTTCAGTGTAGTTATGACATCTTGTATTTATATTTTCTCAATAAATATTTAGATAACAATTGCAATAAATCACGTCTCTCACGTCCTATCACGTTCTATTTACAACATAGCAATTTTTATAATGTATCATTCCTCCAATGAAAAAGTAGGGAAATTAAAAAGATGAAATTCTCGTGACAATAACATCGCCTTGACTGCAATTAGTGCACGGTTCATGACCAAGTGAAATAATAAACTCGTGATATATCTCTTCTGTTCGCAAATATTATTTCCAATCATCTTAACTAACAATCGAAGTATCACGATCATATTACTACATGTTATGATTAATCTAATAGCGGTTGAAAATTTTGATCTCTTGAAAAACCCAAATATCTCATCAAAAACATTTTATTCCCTATAACAAGTAAATTACTTTTTATTTACGCTTTATATATAAAATAACATATTATCTTAATTTTCTTCATTTTCTTGTGTAGATAATCTGTGTAAATAATTTTATTTTATGGATATACATGGTATTGTTGAATTATTCAGCATCTCGACCGCTATTATTTTGAGAAATCGATTAAATTTTATATGCATTGTATCCGTTAAATTTGTATTTTATTTTTTTCAGGATGAAAAACGGTAACAGTTCGATAGACAGCGGACAAAGGTTGGAGGGCTACGTGAATCACGGCTTAAGTGAATCTACCAACAATGTGGATCTCATTCACTCGTATCAATCTTTTCATAATTCGCACGGAAATCACCGAGACATACAGGGTTCCTCGGATTTTATCTGTAAGTTTCAAGTGATGATGTAACATGCAAATATCGGCGAAACCATATTTTTGGCTAAATTATAAAGTAGACATGTGAAAAGAAATATTTATATACACGTGAACATATACGCTCTCTCTATTCAATAAAAATCGTACTATAAATCAATTTGCTTCTTGCATGCGCGGCGAGGATGCCGTAAAAGTAAGTATTTGTCAAAATTCAATGAATGAAAAATTCACCTGTCGGACAAGTATACATTAATAACGTATCTTATAAAATCAATTAAAATCCTGTGCGTAATTTTATAATAAGTTACTTTATATATATATGCTCGCACGTGATAATAATACAAAAATTTTTGTCAGTTTATATTTTAAAAAACACATGCTTTAAAATGCAAATTATAAAATACTGTTGAAAAAATACATTTCTTACCATTTTATTTACAAAATATTTTTGGGGGTTTTTTACCTGTTTACGTAACAAAGACAACAATATATATTGATTTGATTACATTTCAAAAACTTAATGATATCGATCTTGGTATCGCGTGGCTCCAAAGTTTTACAATAATTATCACAATCTTTTTTCATTTGACATTACATGAATAACTTTTTTGATTCGTCAAGAGTATTGTACAATATTTAATAATCACTAATAAAACAATACTTTAAGCTTGATAAAATTCCGTTGATAATCTTTTTTTAGCTTAAAATAAGCTGATAACAATTATTTCTGTTTCGATAAATTGTGTAAGATAACGTAAATTAATATAAAAATAAGATAAGTAACTGATATAAAAATAAATTATTATATTAGATTGTTTTTTGTTTATGTAATATTTGGCAATCTTATTTTTATGCAAGAGTCAAAAACGCATCAAATATTACTAGTTATTTCACTGCTCATTTCGTTTTTTAAGAAATGTGTATATTTCATATATAAAATATTCTGCATAGAAAAAACTAAAAAGAGAAAATTATTAAAGAATTTTCGCCGAATTTGTGTGTGCTACGAAATATATTCAGTGACGTTGGCAAACGCAAGATTACAGCAAAGTAATCTTACGATTTATGCATATCGTCAATGATTTTATTCCGCGAAACTAGTTCGCCTTCCTTGGCGCGACCAATGCAAAATCGGCCTTCGGAAAAGCGGACGTACTTTAAAGATACGTCTCGGCACGTGCCTGGAAGTATATGGTATTTTTTTTTCTTCTTTGTATGTGCCTTCGCTTGGCGAGATAATAAATTTAACATAATGTCCGCGTGCGATATATGAGTACTCCGTCCTTGTCACTTGCTTGTCACGTTACATTTTCGTATATGCGAAATTATTTATGGGTTAACGTGATAGATTGCAAACGATATGACAGATGTAAATCCCTAAAAAGTACATGGAAATTACGAATCGTGATAAAATTTAAGCAGCTACTTTTTTTTAGATTATTTTTATTTATTTTAAAAATTAAGCAAAATTATTTATGGGTTAACGTGACAGATTGCAAACGATATGACAGATGTAAATCCCTAAAAAGTACATGGAAATTGCGAATCATGATAAAATTTAAGCAGCTACTTTTTTTTAAATTAATTTTATTTATTTTAAAAATTAAGCAAAACATTATATGGCCGAAATGATGATTAAAAAAAGATGAAAATAATTTGTGTTCTGTCAGTATAATCGTTTAAGAAAAAAGCATACTTTCTTAATATGTACAGTTTTTATAGAATTTTACAGAATTTGACTTAAATAATGACTATTGAATAATGTGTGTGTGATACCAAAAATAAATCAGTAGATTAAAGAACACTAAAAATAAGTTGACCAATAAAAAATTATTTGCATTCTAATAAAATCTTGTAATAATTGATAATAATTGATAATAAGACTATCATTATATACGTAATATATATAATATATTTGAGGAATATGAATTAAACTTGTATTCTTTATATTGTTATCAATATTAAATTTATAAAAGAGTATCAGAGATGCAAAATAAAATTAGAATACTAACATAAAATCAAAAATAATTTTAAAATATATCCTCATATTTTATATATATATATATATATATATATATATGTGTGTGTATATATACATACATACATGATTATATTATAAGTATATGATTATTTTTGCTTGCTACATGAATACAGTGATCGAAGAGTCAGGAGATGATGAGGTCAAGCAGCAGGAAGGTCTTTTAAGCTCGGCGTTGCAATATACAAGGCGGCGTGCCAGGGCCATATGTACGAAGAAAACCCTTTACAAAAGATTGCCGCTCTTGAGCTGGCTACCAAGGTATAACAGTCAAGATGCGCTCGGAGATCTAGTGGCCGGAATTACCGTGGGTCTCACCGTTATTCCTCAGTCACTAGCGTATTCGAATGTCGCCGGTTTACCGCCACAGGTACATAAAAGAGACATTTATTGCTTGTTTAATGATTTACAAGGGTTACATAAAGATTATATCGGGATTACATTGGCGCAATAGATGTTTGACCAAATATCCTTTCTAGACTAATTTAAAATCGATAAAAAAAATCGAAGAGCCAATAATTAAAAAAAAAATATGTGATTAAAAATAAATGGTTCTTCCCAAATTAATTTTCAATAGAAACAAAGTAATATGCAAAACTATACTTTTTAATTATATTTAATTAAATTTTACTTTACTAAAATTAAACTTACATAAAGAAATATGATATTGTAAATTTCTAAAAGATAATTCTCGATGTTTCCACTAAGAAAAAATTGAGAATGTCTTGCATATTCCCATCTATATACATGTAAATCATTTTTTATTTCAGTACGGTTTGTATGGTAGCTTTCTGGGTTGTTTCATCTATGTAATTTTTGGATCCTGCAAAGACATACCCATGGGACCTACTGCAATAATTTCTTTGCTGACTTATCAGACGATATCTCATTTAGACTCCCCGATACAACATGCGATTTTGTTGTGCTTCATAGCCGGAATTGTAGAGTTAATAATGGGTATATTTGGTCTCGGTAAGTCAACTTCAATATTTTTACAAGAACAATTTAATTTGATAATCATAAAACGTATAATATAATCATAAAGTATTTCAATGTATCTAAGAAAAGAATTGTTGTTGAAAAGATTTTATCTAGTTTCTGTTTTTCAAATTAAATTAACAATGAAAATATTTTTAATATAGATGCACTTTGAATTATCTCTGAATATGAGCAAGACAACTTATATCGCATTAAATTTGACATTAAAATGTAACTTTTTCATCAAAAAACGTTTCGTATTATGGAGTGAATGTAAAATGGATAGCAAAAATAAAATTTATTTCATTTTTTAGGATTTCTGATAGATTTCGTCTCCGGACCAGTAAGTTCCGGATTTACGTCGGCGGTGGCTTTGATAATCGTCACGTCGCAAATCAAAGATATCCTTGGCATCCCTGCCAAAGGTTCCCAATTTATTGAAATGTGGCATAGTATCGGTGGGCTGATACACGAGACATCAGGCTGGGATGCTACTCTTGGAGCATCTTGCATAGCATTACTGTTAATTCTGAGGGTAAGTTTTTTTTTTAATACTTTTGATAAATTTTGAGAGAAAAAACAATTAAATCATTAACACATACACACACACACACACACACACACACACACACACACACACACACACACACACACACACACACACACACAAAAAGAAAACACATGATCTCTCTACACACACACACACACACACACACACACACACACACACACACACACACACACACACACACACACACACACACACACACACACACACACACACACACACACACACACACACACACACACACACACACACACACACACACACACACACACACACACACACACACACACACACACACACATACAAGAAATCTCTTAATTAATTATTAATAAATAATATTTTACAAAGAAAATTTAATTTAATATTAATATTAATGTTATTATCTTTATAATATATGTCTTATAATGCGATATTTGGATTACAGTTATTAGCCGCGTGCAAAATTGGTCCGGACAAGGAAGAACTTCGTACTACAAAACATCGCATCATGAATAAATTCATCTGGTTAATCGGCACTTCACGAAACGCGCTTTTAGTAGTAGTTTGTGGTTTATTGGGTTGGAGTTTCCAGGATAAATCGCCTGTCAAATTGATCGGTATGCGATACAAATTAATTTTTTTGGAAACCAGTTTTGTGCAATCACAAAACAAATGCCCAACTGTGCTAACAAACTTTTATAATCAAATAAATATATAGAAAAATAAAAAAGTATTATATATAAAATTTACTACAAATAAAAATTATTTGTAGTACCTATATTATTAAAAAGATAAATTATTAGATCTTTAAATATATTATGATATAAATTATAACAGAATATTATGTGTATATATTATAATAGAAACAATTCAAAAGTCCGATGATCAGTTTTAGAAATTAAACCAGACTAAAATTTTTCATCACAGGTCATATACCAGGAGGTATGCCCGCTGTACAAATCCCACCTTTTGGATACATTAAGGATAGCAATACGACGCTCACGTTTATCGACATGATCGGCAATTTAGGCAGTGGTGTTCTCGTTATACCGCTCATCTCTCTAATGGAGGATATCGCTATTTGTAAAGCCTTTGGTAAGTAATTTATCAGAAAATACATAATAGAAGATTGCCTTTCGCTGCGTCATATAAGATTGCATCATAAAAATGCAAAACAATAAACACTTTTAAAAATTATCTTGGCTATACAATCAAGTAATTTATATAGATCTTATTATGAGATTGTTATAGGAATTATACTTTTTTGCAGCTAACGGAAAAGCAGTAGACGCTACGCAAGAACTGATAGCGATCGGTGTGTCGAATATTGGAAATTCCTTTGTACAAGCTTTTCCGAGTACAGGATCTCTCAGCAGAAGCGCAGTGAACAACGCTTCCGGCGTCAGGACACCGTTTGGCGGTGTTTATACCGGTGAGTTTCACTTGGAACTTTTATAAATTAATTATTGCATTTTTTCTTCGCTTGCGAGTTGGATGTAAAATCAAAAAAGCAAATAAGGCTCATAAAAGATATGTATTTTGTCAAAATTCACGTTGCATCTCGACTGTTATCTTTTAAATATTTATGCTATCGCATAGAAATAAGTCTACCACATTCTTTTTAACAATAAGATAAATTATATATTATTCAACATAAATTTTCATTCTTCATACGATGTAATATTTATATATGTTTTGTTTTCAGGTGTGTTAGTAATTTTAGCTTTGCTGTTCCTTACCCCATACTTTAGTTTCATTCCACGTGCCACTCTAGCGGCAATCATCATAGCCGCGGTCATCTTCATGGTTGAAGTCAGAGTCGTGAAACCGATGTGGAGGACGAAGAGTAAGAAAACACGTTTCATAAATGTGATAAATATCAAATAAAAATTTGAGATATATCACGAATGAATTATTCCTCCGTGTTTCAGAGTCAGATCTTATCCCGGGGGTGGGCACGTTCATCGCGTGTTTGGTGCTGCAATTAGAGATAGGTATTCTCTGCGGTGTCGGAATAAATATTCTCTTCATCCTCTATCATGCCGCCAGACCGAAAATAACCGTGGAGAAACTCAAGGTAATTTTTTATGATTTACTTTAAAAAAATAGGAAATCGATTCTTTGCATTTAGCGAGTGTTCACTTTAATTCAGTATTCTTGATTATCCTAAACTTGATTGTACTTTTCTCACGAATTGTATGATATTTTTTATAAATACAGAATTATATAGAGATACATTGAATTTCTCTTGTATCGTGATTACAACTTTCAAAAAAAAAAAAAAAAAACGAAATTTCTTTGACTTTTGTGATTTCATTTTTCACAACAAATTTTCATTTTCTCAATTTCTCTTTTCACAATCAATTTGACTAATCAACTTTTCTGTCCGACAGACTCTTCACGGCATTGAGTATTTAATGTTGACGCCCGATCGTTGTTTGATCTTCCCGTCGGTGGACTATGTGCGCAATTTGGTGACCAAATACAGCCGGCGTGCCGAAAGCGTTGCAACGCCTGTAGTGATCGACTGTTCACACATCTATGGTGCGGACTTTACGGCTGCTACAGTCATCGAAACTTTGACAAAGGACTTTGCCTTAAGAGGCCAACCACTCTTCTTCTACAATCTGAAGCCGTCAGTATACGCCGTCTTCGAGGGTGTCGAACCTACGGACTTTACTGTTTATTATACTCAGGAAGCATTAGACGACTTGCTGAAGGAGAAGGGATATACGAAGCAAATTAAATAGAAGGCGACATGGAGAGCCGCAATGGCTAGAATTTTCGATACATTAACATTTTCGAAGCGTATTCTTTAAAACTATCTGAATCGGCAACAGTTGGTTACCGAGAATACGCGAGAATTGCAGAAAGACATTACTTTGATTAGACTTCAAAATAATGCGTTAATTTCGCCATGAAAGCGAAACTATAAAGCAATTATATATTTATATACCGTTGTTCTCGGCGATATTTTGTGCGTGTAAAAGTTTATTGTGAGACTTGGTAATTTCAGGTATTTAAAAAAATATTTTATTTTTACTTTTCACATTTGGAGATTCACGCAACTTAATATATAGCAATAGAGAAAGTATCGAAATAAAGAATACGCACATAGAAAATATCGTCGATCTATATTCAATTTACGTTTAATAGAAAAAACGTAACTTGTCGCGTGTACTATAACGGAGAGACACGAAACAATTTTGATTCTCACGTAGAATGGAATTAGTAATCGAAGAACGGCTGGAAAAATACTGTTGTATTTCTCGAATATATATATATATGATATTACTGCCATTATGTACTTCGAAAAGAGAGATACTATTAAAATAGATTGGAAATATCCTATACGATAGGTATGATACAAAAAAAAAGAGAAAGAACATTCAAAAATCGTGTAAAAAATTAAAACGCGCATCCTAGAGGATGTCTTTATAACATCTATAGATTCTTTTGTCATCTTAGAATATTTATTTAACTTTTCAATGAAGCAAAGATATATGTATATCTGTGTTACATTCTCACATCGATATTTAGTGTTTTCAGTGTATTTGAAGTCCTTATTTAAAATCGTAATGCATGAAAAAGATATATAATATACTGCATTGTACATTTTTATACATTTACTACTTCATCCAAAATAACACTTCGTGTTCTGGAAATATATGTACATATGTATAATAAGTTCAAACAATACTGTGATAATTTTATAAATAATGTTTAGCGTACAATCGACGAAAGATATTCGTCTTCCGGCGGAACCGCAGCTTCCTCCGTGATAAATAGCAGATATTTCGTGAATTTTTAAAATGTTCTTATTAGATCGATATCACTGATTCACAAGCGTATTGATGTTAAATTTCATTATAATTTGATCAACTAATAAGAAAAGATTTGTAATATATATAATTAATTTAAGATATGCAATTTATATGTGGCTCATCTTTTTCATTATATTCCTGCATTATTTTTTTGGAAAAAGCTCTATTAAAATAATAATATTAACACAAATAATAATATTAATACAATTGTTATAAAGGCGATTGTAATTATAAAAATAATTTTATATTAGTTATTATAACTATATTGATCATGATTATAATATATGAGAAAAGTTTATAATTTAATTCTTTATATAAGTTAAAAAAAATAAAACAATTTTTAAACAATGTGCAGCAATATAAAAATAAAAATAATAATTGTACTACATTCCCTTTCGCAGCAACAATAGATTGTTGAAAGATGTTGAATTCAATACGGTTTGTTGCTTTAATAAAACAATGTGTAGAGAAATATTATATACGTAATAGTTATGTACGCGTGCGTGATTATATACGTTACAAAAGAAAATGGAAGCTTGTGGTAAATCAATTAATAACATCACTGAATCGGCATTTTGTATCGAGAAAAAGCTTCATTCATTTAATCAATTTGTAAATAGTTGAATATGTAGTTATGTCTATCAATCCTCCCGTAGTAATTGTTTATTTTACACTAGATCGGTTAACATATATAATAATTATACAGTAATACATTTATTTTTAGTAGTTATTTTCAAATCTATTTCCAATTTGAAGTAGAAGATGCAATTATTAGCTTCAATAAGATCGAGAAGACATTGCGTATATTTGTGATAAAAAATTATGCAAAAATTGAATCGTAGAAAATAAGAGACATCACTTCTATAAGTTTGGGTTGTGGAAAAAAACTAATTATTTTTGTAATTCCTAAAAGAAAATAACATACCAAATTTTATATAAAATACAGAATAAGTCCACAGATGGTGTTGTATCCGTAATAATTTTTGCACAACGAATAATCTAATGATAAACGATTTGCTTTATATCATACTACCATTTTTTTAACAAAAACTGTACATAAAAATAGAAAAAAATGACGGGTTTTTTTTAACTTGAAATTATCTTAAATTATTATTATTTGCTATTCTTTTTCCTCCGATCTATATATATATATATATACAGTCGTCTCTTCTATATACGCATAATGCAACATTTGCCATGTCTCTCTCAATACAATATATATTGATGTATATGTGATGATAAAGTGAATTGATCCAGGCGAAGGTCGTTCACGCGGTCTCATTAGTTCGATTGTCCGTTGACAGATATATCTTATCCTTACACGCTGCATTATATAGGGCGATGGTCTCCCTTCTCCCGGCCAACCGGGCGCTATCGATTGTTACGAACACCGTGTCCAGAACCGTAACTGAGAATTATAGCACCTGCAGCGAATTTATTTTCAATGTTTTACAAATGATGTTTCTATGAAAGTAATCCTCCCATTAAATTTTAGAAAAGACAAAATATCTTATTACTATCAAACTTAAAAAAAGTATTAACGTTGGAAGAACGTTGATGTAACATGTGGCAATAATTGTTAACAAACTGTAGTTATATGCGGTCGAGTAGACGCAATATCCTTTGATTTCCCTTAAAAGATTCTACAAAATGAAGGAGTAAAAAGAATATTTTATGCACGCATGTTGTGGTACATTGACTTTTTTATATAATAATTGTAATACGCATGATTCGCCGCTCGAGAGGCGAAATGGCTCCTATAGACTATATAAGAACCATAGTTACGGCTCTGATCGTGCCGTTTGATAACGTGCTAAATGTGCACTTTCCGCACGCGAGAGCGGGTGTCCGTATCCGCAGCCTTCCACCGGCTGCACCAGTCGCACGTTGCCCGATGACGGACGCGCACGGGATGAAAATTAACATGTCTTCGACAGCGGTACGCTATTCCGGGGTAAGTGCAATTCAAACAGCCGGGTAGCTGCTCCAGCTACCCAGTATGACAGAGTGATCGAACCTTTCGGATTTCCTAGTCTCGATGAACGTTTCAAAAATTTGAGATAAACGCAGCAGCAAAAATCTCTCACTCTTCACGTTTTCTTGGATTCCTTTTTTAAATTGAATTAAGAGCGCAAAAATTTATTTTTTATATTGTCATTATTCTCAAATAAAAGTGTGTATGTATAAAATGTTAGTATGCTATTTCGGGGTGCAATTCAAGCCGTGTAACTACTACAGCTACCCAGTCTGATAAAGTGATCGGACCTTTCGGGGTTCCAGGATATCTTAACGAACGTTTCAAAAATTTTAGATAGACGCAGCAGCAAAAAGAACTCATTTTTCATATTTTTTGGATTCTTTTTGTAAACTAAAAGCGCAAATTTATTTTTTATATTATTATTATTCTCAAATAAAAAAAAGGGTGTGTATATAAAATGTTAATTATAAAATAAAAAAACTCCATTAGATGAAGAAAACATTATTTATATTAGAGAGATTTTTACATGCATGTTGATTTCTAATTTTATTGTTAATTTGAGAAATATAATTTCATGATCACGCGGCCGGTTTTTCAAAAACTCATCTTTTTTGGACATTCTGGTGAACATTTTAGAAATTTAAAAAATATAGGAATAAAATTCCATTTGTTTAATTATATCTTCAATATGTTATAAGTCCAAAATACAAAATTATTCTATATCTTATTATTTCTAGATAAAAATGCATAGCGCGATATTAAATATTAAATATTTTTCTATTTTAATTCTAATTTTAAAATAGAAAGATATATACAAACAATTTATATAAATTATTGTTTATTTCCTGTATCTTTTCTTTATAATATAATAATCTTCCAATTTATTTTTCTAATATATGCAATCAAAATCTAAAAGTGTTCACCCAATGTCCTAGTTTGGATGATATAAATATCATCATATCGGTATTCGATTTTTCGTCCACTATGGGATACACCAGTTGCATTTCCGCGCATGATTCATGAGCAAAGATTATTCTTGCCTTATCATAGAGCATAATGTATATATAGGATATCACGATATCACGAAGAGTATCGATGCAAGCAAATCAGTGTCGATAAACGAGACGACGGATGCTGCGACGATATAATGGCATCCAGAAAGCCGACAAAATACGACGACTCGTAAAATCACGAAATGGAACTGCGTAAAAGCTCTTGGAAGATCTTAATCCTCGTGTGCGCGTTGGCCATCTACCTCTGGATGCTCCTCGTCGATCATTCGCACATGTTAGTCGATATATCGCAGAAGATCACTCTGCAGAAAACGCGGATCTCCGTGTCAATGAAAAATGTTCTGTATCAAAGTCTCGATCAATCGAAGATCGGAGATGTATCTCTGGATGATCGAACAGATTCGAACTCGAAAAAACTGCAGTCGCTATCACTCCAAAATTCGAGCGACGCACTCAAAGGAACGGTATTGAAATATCAGACATTCAAGCAACAAAATCTGATACCAAGCCGACAATTGCCGACTGCACTAATAATCGGGGTGAAGAAAGGCGGAACGAGAGCCCTTTTGGAATTCCTAAGATTGCATCCAGCGATTCGTGCTGCCGGCTCGGAGGTTCATTTCTTTGATCACCATTATGTTAAAGGATTTCGTTGGTACAAGTACGTACAATAAATTGTTTCTACAATTGAAATTACAAAATTACAAACACGAAACAGCATCACTCCATTTACTGAAGAAATTTGAAATTATAAAGTTCTTGAAATATAAATTTGTGATGCGCTGCTGTCCCATATATGAAATATATATATAAAGAATTTAAAATAATACTATTTTTAAATTCAAAAAAATCTTTCTCAGAAAAACTTTCCATTTGTTTTTTACATGAGAGATTACATCTTTGTCGTTATATCATGATTCACTGAACACTCTGTACACCCAGTACTATAAATACACCTGTAACATTTTTCTGTCAATAATTAGACGCAGGATGCCCCCGACTCTAATCGGTCAAATCACTATGGAAAAGACGCCGTCATATTTCGTGACGAGCGAGGTGCCGAAGAGGGTGAAGTACATGAACCCGGAGATGAAACTAATCGTCGTGGTGAGGGACCCCGTGACCCGAGCGATTTCCGATTACACGCAGGTGAAGAGCAAGCGCCGCAAAATGCCGCGATTCGAGGATCTGGCTTTTTTGAATGGATCGAGAATCGTGGACACTTCCTGGGTGCCACTGAAAATCGGGGTTTACGTACGGCATCTGGAAAGATGGTTGCAATACTTCCCGTTGTCGCAATTCTTGTTCGTATCGGGCGAACGCCTGATCGCCGATCCGGTGATGGAGATCACCCGGGTACAGGACTTCCTTGGTCTGAAGCGAGTGATATGCGAAAAACATTTCTACTTCAACGCCACCAAAGGCTTCCCTTGTTTGCTCAAGTCGGAGGATCGTGCGACGCCGCATTGTCTCGGTAAGACAATCGAGAAAATTGTTCATTTCAGCAAGAAAATTAATTATAAAAGATAAAGTTTCCAGGAAAAGAAGAATGCCTGTTATCGCAATTATTTGCAAAAGTAACGATATTTTTTTGCAAAAGTAATTATAAATAAAATACTGTGTGTGTTTGTATCTTCAAATTTGATAAAATATTCTTTTGAAAAAAAAAAAAAAAAAAAAAATTTTTTTTATCCAAATTTCGTTACCTGCGTTATTCTTACACACTTGTGTAGCTACCGCATTTGCGCTTTATCGCTAATATCGCGACGCAACTCGGGGGAATGTTTACCGAAAGTGAAAACGACAAAAGAAAGGTCTTCGCGTTCACGGAAGGAACGTCAAAAGAAATGTAAATTCCAGACACTCGCGATTTGCATTATCTCATTAGTTGACCTATTTGTCGGACACGCGACTATTTGCTTTCGTTCGATAACTCATCACGATAAGTGATTTTCCGTACGTTAAAAAAAAAAAATCTTTTCTATCCATTCATTTCTTCAAGTAAAATTTTTTGGTTCGTACACAGAATATTGTAGAAATTGTGTAGTAATGTTTGAACTAATTAAAATATATTATATTTACTATTAATTAAAATATATTACATTTTAGGAAAGAACAAGGGACGCAGTCATCCCTATATCGATCCCATGGCAATTCAACGTTTACGAGATTTTTATCGGCCATTCAATCAGCGCTTCTATCAATTGGCGGGTATGGATTTCGGCTGGTACTAAAAATTCACACCTATCATATACATACATATCGTAAGCAAGAGAAACGGAGTCAATTTTCATTATATGTTTATCTTATAGCGTATTCTAATGACGTATTCTAATATGATTGTGGATATGTATCTATCAGAAACCAGATATGCAGATTACAGATATATTCAGATGTGACAGTATTTAAATACTGTCACACCTGAATATATCTGCAATCTGCATATCTGATTTCTGATAGATACATATCCACAATCATATTAGAATACGTCATTAATTCATAGTACACGTCATTAATTCATAATGCACAAAACTTTTTTCAAATTCTGTTTTTTTTTCCTAAATCTCGAAAAAATCTCTCTTAATTTTTATCATGTTAATTTAATGTACCGAAAATAATCTATAAAAACTTAAGTCTTTCTATAAGAAGTATACTATACAACAACATGGAAATCACTGCTTGTTGCTTATTGTTGTAAAATAATTTATCTCTAAATTCAAGTACTTATATAAGATTGAGTTACCATGTGTAAAGACGAATTCATTAAGTTTACTATCTCTTAAAATTATGAGCAGTACGGTTCCCGTCCGAAAGTCTTTACGAAAAACCGCCACATATCTATATTTCCTATATTTATTATAATTATATTATAATATTATTATATATTACAATAATTACATATAATCATCAATATATCTAAGAATCACATCTGAGATACTTCCATATATGCAATGAAGAGATTATAAAATTTATATAAATATGTACAATAATGAATGAAAATGAGAAAAATTACGTATAGTTAGCTCGTATATAACGAATTTTTTTTTTATTTAGATAAAACTGATATAATTATATATCTTAATTAGTTAAAAAAAATGCAAACGGTAAACTATTTATTGACTGTCTTTGTTATTTATTTTTAGCTCTTTAATTTAAGATGTTCCGTAAGTAAAACAATAGTGCAATATTAATATATCTTTTTACATTTTAGCTTAGATGTGCATAAAACAGAAAATGTGGTTATTATAATAATTATGCAATGATTAAGAACGGAGTAATTAAAAAATTGTTACCGGGCAAAAAGTATACGTACTATCCCATCTAATCATATTTTAGAAAAAAAGAACAAAATTTTTGTCGCAAAAATTTGTCGAGTAATCTTCGTAACTGCATTATCAAATTTAAAATAATTTAAGTTTAATAAAAATAAAATTTTTTATTCAACATGATACGAAATTAATCTATTACCAGCTATATATATGAAATATCAATAGGGTGTTTCGTGTTAAAGAAAAAACAAGTTATAAATTTCAATCTACTTCCTTAATTTTTGATGCTATATGCCGGTAATTTCATTATCCATCCACCCTAGATAATGATTCATTGCATATTAATTTTCGACATATACCTAATGTATATAACGGTGAATAACTAAAAACAATACCAAAATTAACTAGTTCCTAAGTATTAAAAACTAGTCAATATTATCAGGAAAAATTGTGGAATAGCCACGTAGAAAATTTCCGATATATGTAGATGAGATTATGACCCAAAGATTAATCATACAATGTAAAAAATATAGGTCTAATAAATAATAGAGACATATTCTTTAACAAATCGATAAATCGATATTCTTTTTTAATAAACATTATGGATTTATCTCTGATATTAACCTCAACTAGTAAAAAATAAGCCTATTTCCAATTCTTGCATTTCATGATATATTCTGTATAAATTATAAACGTTTATATAAGATAAACCTTTAACAAGATCAGAATGAATTAAAATTATTAAAAATATTAAAAATAAATTCGAAAATTAAAAAGTTAATTTAGATGTAAGAAAGCAAATTATATAGTGAATTATTCCATAACTTTAAAAAAAAATTAAGTTGCAATATAATATTAATACGTTTTGTATATGTGCAAAGAAGAGTAATAATTGATATAATCTATTCAACGACTGTCGACGACGATTGCAGGATTATTGATCTAGTACGTAAGAACGAAAGTAGGCAACATTTAGCGAGATAGATTTAGCGACGATATATTCATATTCATGCGAACGGCGAACGATGATATAATAGTAAAGCACAGTGCTTTTGCTCAAATTGTACCACAGGGCTGTCAATACAAATATAAGTATTTCATATCATGTTTTAAATATACAGATGATTTGACATGCAGAACAAAATATGTATATATAAATGCTGTATAAAATGTTCAAAAATAGCTGTGATTCTTCCAACGATAAATCTTATATGAATATATATCCGGTTTTTCTTTACAGCTCTTTAATTATGAATAGCAAGTGTTGTATTGGAAAGACATTATTTAATTTTCACCGAATTAAATTCGATACATATCATAAAGGTTATATCATCGATCTTTTTGAAACTTACACCTGTATCTTAAATTTGATACATCTTCAAATGTGTAACAAGCCATCGATTAAATAACTAATTAAATAACTTTAAATAATTCATTCCCAATCTTAATTCTCCTTTCTATATATGTATATATTATATATATATATATATATATATATCTTTTCTGTGATTTTTTTCGATGTTTTATATTATTGTTAGATAAATTCTTATTAAAGAAAATTTCTCTCTTTTTATTTTCTGCTCCATCGCACGCTATCGAATTCTAATAAATAATATGTACGCACATACCTGACTGATACATACCTGATAATCGTATATTAGTAACATTTTCGCTGTGCAAAAATACCGACGTAAAGAGGATCTCGATCCATTCCAGGCTCACATACAGAAACGGACGATACGCGATATTAAAGTATAATAACGGCCGCGCATGATGTTTACATTACGATTGAGCACTTTTTGAAATGCTTTTGATAATTCTTCGCGCACAAAACCAGTACTTTTAAACAATAACAAGTATGAAAAATACAGAGCAGCTTGAGGGCGACTTTACGATTCGGCGCGACGCGTTTCATAATGAAGTGAGATTTGAAAGGCGATCTATCGAAATACGATTTTGCGATTCTCGAAGTGTCGAAACGACCAAAGCGCAGCAGGCGGATCGCAGTATGTAATAGTTTAACCTAGAAATAAAATTCGACATATCTTATTAGAAACATTTGGAAACAACCGAAACGGTAAAGTAATTAAATACGACAATTCATATTTGATATAATTTAATATTTAAAACAATATATATTAGCTGTTATATTCGATGAAGATTCCCTTTATTGAGAGAGAGAGAAAGAGAGAGAAATAAACATTTTGAAATATATATACGCGCGTGCGCGAAAAACGCTATATAGCGCCACATCCATTGATATTTCTTATATAATTCAAAAAATAGTGTTATATGACAATTCATTTTTATACAATTCTATATCTCTAGTTAGAAGACATTCTTTTTTTCTGATATTGCTTTATCATTACGTCATGCTGAAACTGATAACAAGTATTAATCGATACTAATAAATTACTTTAAAGCCCAAAAAATAATTTATACTATAGTAATTTGTTAATAAAAAGTATAATTTGTAAATAAAAAAAATTTGCATACAATATAGAGTACAATGTAGATTAGTCTACAATAGTTATACTTGTATGTATAAATAATATGTATAATATATATATAATTTGTCTATATAAAAAGAATTCCCATTGTATTTTTCTATTTTTACATTACAAGATAGAGCTAAAATTAAATGAATATAAAAATATATGCGTAGCGATAAAAGAATTGTTCTTTTTTTCAGATCACAAGATTGGCTCAACCATGGAAAATTTGTCGCCACAAAATTCTTTACCATGTTAAACTGCCATTATATATAAGGATAATACCACCATTGTAAATTATCAATAGTAGTACATGTAATTTATATGCAGTGCTATTATCATTAACATCACAGTAAGTGTCTTCAATTGATTTGACATGCTACATATGACTACAAGTGGAAAGATACTTTGCGATATCAATACTTTCCAGTAAAATGATATTTCTTTACAAATGCTTCCAAACCTAATTTTTAAATTTTCATAATAATAGACCCATTTCTAATATTTATATATTTGCATTCATGCTACATTTGCATGTAGCATTGGAGATTCTTTCTAAAAATTTATCAAATACAATATTTGCAGAATGAACATTTATCTTCATTCAAACTCATTTGCAAGTCGCGCATTCATTGAACATAGCTTATTCTTGTAATCATTTAGGCTAAAAAGATGAAAAAAATAGGCTATAATTCTTCGCTCATTAACTTTCTGTAGTCTTGTTGGTCCTGAACCATTTTCTTAAATACACGATACTTTCGAAGATGATATCTGAAATAATTACAAGTAGATATATAACAAATGATATATAATAAATAATAATAAATTCGAAATAGCAATAGAAATGTTTTCCTTCATAATTTTGGTAAACCCGGTTTTCCTTCTCTTTTATCTCTTTTTATCAAAACTTTAAATATAAACGCGATACTTTAGAAATCACTCTATATAATTTTTATACTGATATTATACCCATGTATACTTACTTGTAACATTCACTCGTCGGTTTTACTATATTTGACAATCCTGCCATTCTTTTGATAGTTTCGTGCATAGAATATTTTTTCGTGGCACATGCTCCGAGAATTGCCGAACCTATTAAAACCGATTCCCGCTCCACAGGACAAAGTACTGGTAACGCCAATACATCGGCTTGTATTTGAATAAATAGTGGATTTTGACTGAGTCCACCGCAAACTAATATGCTTTCGATATTATGACCGGCAGCCGTCAACGTTTCAATTATATACTTTGTACCGTACTGTCGTAAAAATTAATATATTTTTGTTACAATAATTTTGATATAAAGTAACTTTTGATTAAACTTCTCAGTGCATTAAATATATTAAAGTTATTATTCTCAGAAAAAATAATCGAACATTTTTAATTTGTAAAAAAAAAAAAGATAAAATTTTGTAATTTAAATAAAATTATATTATGGCAATTTTTAATAAATTTAAATTATTTTTAATTTGTGACATACCGTTAGTGCTTGCACTGCTGCTAAGTATAATAACGCTAACTTGTCCTCATCTACAGATAAGGATAATCCAGATATCTATGAAGTAATGTAGGTAATAATATAAAATTGTATCCATTTTCAAGACATGCAAAGCAATAAAAAAAATGCAATGTATGTCAATACCATTCCTTTCAGAGTTGGATCAGCAAGAGGCGAACGATTACCATGGAAATCTGGCCACACATGTATATCCTTTGTCAAGTAAGATACGTTGTGCAGATTTTTCTGCTCAGCCATAATGTACAACAATTCGGATAGATATTGTTGAATATGTCTGAAATTAATAGCGGTTTTATCGTATCGATATTTATTCATATATGTTTTGATACTCACTTATTTCCGCCTAAAGTTTTCAGAATTCCCGGCGTCGCAGGATGTGTATCGATAACATAATCCAGTAGCTTTCCGGTAGCACTTTGACCCCCCTCATTAAGCCAGAAACCGGGCACCATCGCACTATAGTACGGGCCCCAAACACCGTTTACAAATATCTTATTCTCATTCACTATCATGTGACACGTCGAAGTACCGCAAATCAAAGCTACAAATTACAAATAATCCATGTTAATTTTCTTTTTAATAAACGTGTCGCGTATTGTTTACGATATTGCGCACCTAATCGATTGGAAAAATTTGAAGACACATCTGGCGCGTAACAACCGATCATGCCGAGGCCACCGGCGTGTGCATCGATCAGCGATGTTCCAACCGGTGTACCTTTCAATAATCCCAATTCTGTTGCAGCTTTCGCCGACAATCCGGGCTCAATCGCATCACCGGGTACTCTTACATCATTACCTTGACATTAATATCTGCCTTTATTAAAGTGAAATAAGAATTTATTTATATAAAGTTTACATATCTGCATGTACAAAATTTCCCAATTTTTGCACTTATTTTTAATATTGAAATTAGCCCATCAATCTTTAATTATTCTTTATACGAAAAATCGTTATACAAAATATCTTTTTATAATTGGTTTCTTTCTTTTTCCTATTAGTTAAAATTAGATAAAACATTTTTATGTGTAAGAATTTCTCACTAAAATTTTTGATATAAATATAATACAATGTACCTATTTTTCTCCAATTGTCTTTTTTCAAGTCCCGTAAATTAAGTTGCTCAAAGAACTCCTCGTTCCATTCGTTCTTACCACTGGGATTGGCGCTATAGTTCCATTTACACACTAATGAACACAACGATCTAATAGAATAAAAGATAAGAGACATTAATTACTTCAACTGCTCTGATTAAAGGATTTAGGCATCAAAGATTTTTACCGCGATTCCGATTCAGTGGCTTTCCATGTTAAAAAGTCTGGTAAGTCAAACAACAGTGTTGCAGAGTTCCAAGAAGCAGGTAAATTCTTTTTGAGCCACAACATCTTTGGTGTTTGCATCTCAAGAGAAACTTTGCCACCTACATATTGTAATATGTCATGACCTATAGAATTGATGAAATCAGCTTCCTCATGCGCTCTGTGATCCATCCATAGTATGACATTTTGTTTTTCCTGTCCTGAACAATTAGTACAATTTACTACATTACATTAATACTATAATTATATAACTTTGATACAAAGTTAAGATAAGGAATGTCTCTTGTTCTTTTATTTTATACCTGTAAGACTGATTGTTACAGGTGATCCTGTTTTATCTATAGCCACCAATGAGCATGTAGCATCGAAACCAATTCCTTTGACGTCTTCTGCGGAAATTTCGGCAACAACCGACTGCGAATAAGACAAAAATTGCAATTTAATTAGTTCCAATTTAATATAATTTACAATTTTTTATAATTTTTATTGCAGTGAATTTTATTTTACCTTGACAACATGGCACACAGCGCTCCAAATGTTATCAGAGGATTGTTCATAAAAGTTTGGGGCGGGATGAAATATTTCAAGAGGACATGTAGCCAGCTTCTTTATCTTTCCATTCGAAGTAACCAAAGCCGCTCGAACGCTTCCTGTTCCCACATCTACACCAACAAAAAAATCCATGATTGTCACAGTGTCGACAGGCATCTGCAGTCTCACATGAAGTAAAGTCAACTAAGCTATGTCGAGCTTAGGCATAAGCTGTAAGAAAGAAGTGATATAATTATCAGCCAACCAGCATATATTAATCGTTGACATATATTCTAAGATGGCATGACCCTGAGATAACATTAATTCCAGAGATATACAGCATGAATAAAAACTTAAGAGAGTGTAATGTGTTATCAGTTAATAATTCTTTAATCCAACAGCACACATACAAATGTCATATTGGTGATCACAAATTGTATATAATTTTCTCTTGACTTTCCACAAATTAATAATAGCTACAAAAATAATTTTAAAAGTGCAATACATAAAATATGCAATATGTAGTATATGTAGCTCGTGTTTTAAATAATAAAATCTATTAGGAATAAGAATTATTAGATAACTCGTTATCTCATCACTCATGGTATCGTACAGAAACCTGTAGAAATATTTCTATTGCTATAAATTACCTTGATTTTAGTTATACAACACTTCATTTATAACATTGTCACATTTACTCTGTTGTGTTTATACATATTTAAATAAGAAATTGTGTGGATATTTTTTAGTGAAAGTTATTTTAATCGGCGACATTGCAGTAGCAACATTGTGAGATCATCATTTAAATTGCAACAAGAAATATGTAAGAAATCGATGCGTGACAAGTATAAAAACAAGTATAAAGAATAAGCCATATAAATTGCGCAAAACTGTTCATATTTTTTTATATATATACATATATATATATATATACGCAAGTATGCACGTGCTTCGCACCAAGTTGTACGCTTGATACCAACACGACCTAACCATACCTGACTCTGTGAAACACATGATATGTCAGTTAGGGCTGTGTGAATTGGTGTGAATCTGTGAATTGGTCTGCTATGTATTTTGATATTGCTACTTTCTACTACTTGATTTTAGGTACAGAAAGTGTAAAATAACCTAAAACATGGTTCGCTTCAAAAATAGGTAATTCATAATCACATTCATTATAGAATTTCCACATTTAATAAAAAATATATGTTCCTTCATTCTTTATTATTTCTCTTTTTAGGTACATTGTTCTTGAAATTACACCACATAGCAATGATGATAAGCAATTAATGTTGAAAAATACAGCTCTCTCTCATGCAGTTCAACAAAAGATCCAACAGTTGTACGGTGATTTTGGGGTGGCAGCGATAAAAGATGGCTTTGATGGTAATTAAATATTTGATGCAATGATAATCCCTCTCTTAACTAAATACTATCTATGGTGCATATAACAATGAAATATATATAATTATGCTATTTCCTTATTTCCTGTTACAGCTAAATATTGCAATTCATATACGAAAATAGCACTGGTAAAGATTAGACATGGTCCTCACAAATTCGTACTGCGAGCTATTCCATTAATAAACGACATAGGCGGACGGTTAGTTAAAACGAGCATTCTATATGTTGGGGCAACTATGAAACATTGTTTCCTTTTTATCAGAGTAAGAATACAATATACGCTTCAACTATTTTGTGTATGTACAGTTAACAGAAAAACTACTATGAAACATGTTCTTTAGAAACATCAAGAAAAAAAGCTGGAACAAATATGGTCAAAATTACGAACAGAAACTGAGAGAAAGGAAATGGAGACAGTTCTGATGACCTTGACACCTGCTATGAAAGACTTCAAGTAAAAGTTAGTTACTTTTATAGATAAATGTTTCTCAGTAGTTCATAAAATATTAACATTTTAACTGACAACAGTATATATATTTCTACATTATCTATATATATCAAAAATAAGATTAGTATTTTTTATATACAATAGCCCTTCTCTTTTTCTCTTTAATGTATCTTTTTATAAATAAAATAGAACTACGTTGTGTGTGTAAAAAAGAAGCCTCTAATATCAATGCATATAAAAATTAGTGAAATGTTTATATTACAAGCGCAAATGTAATAATATTAACGTCTAATTCATTAACTATTCTAGCGAAATAAGATTTTATTTTCTTTTTGATAGATTTGGTAATATAATTTAACTTAGTCAATAAATTAGCTTTTTATGTAGAGAATAATTTTTAGCTATATATAATAATATTAAAAAATCACAGGCAATTTTTAAAAAAGGTAAAAATTATTATAAATCTGTTTTCAACAATTTATAAAAATAACTCTAAACAAGGAGTTTTTTATCAAGCTTTGTAATAGGTAAGGATTCAGCAGACTCCTACTAAACGTTAAAAGTAATGTCATTAAGCTTGCTGCTATTCTCGAGCATTTTTTTTTTTAGAAAACTAACGGCAATTTTTATTTTTTTAGATTCTTTTTCTTCGAGATGATCTCCAGTAAAGATTTCGTTATCTGCAGCAGATATCTTTTATGATTGTCGGCAACAGGGATCGTTGCTATCTCTCGCCAGTTGTCGCTGTTCATTGCTGGCTGGCTGGAAATCACAAAGCCACAAACCACTGGAAACCTCTTTCAGTCAGAGAGAAGGCTTCACGGCTTCATTGTGCCTATCTTCAGACCGCCACCATCGCGGCATCCCGCGTTATTCCGCTTCCGCCGTCTATGGTCGTCGGTCGTGCATTTACCGCTCGTTCGGATTAATTCGGATCATTTCGTATCGTTCGGAGCAGCAGCTGATGGCATCCCGCTCGGCTTCACCATTTCGCGAATCCAGAAATTCGTACGTGTGCGCGCGAGCTAGGTAAAAGAAAAGAAAAAAAAAAGAAACAAGAGAAAAACAAACCGAGTGTACATAACACGCATCATACATCTTGAGAGCAACCGAACTCTCGATTTGAAATCGGACGTTCGCTCTCGCCGGATATAGTTGATATACGTGACTATTCTCGGTACTCTCGCTCCGTAATCGTTCCATTTTCATCCGACTACAGACATTTTAACGGACAACGAAGAGGCCCCTCTCCCCTGTGTATCAACACAGTCGTCGATCTTCCAGGATAGTGTTATCGTTCGACCGCACAGTTATCTGAAATAGTTATCACTCCGACGTACACACACCGGCGAGTTCGAGGTAAGCGATCCATTTCTTTTCCATTCGCGCTATCGATCTCTCCCCGTGTTTGGACTCGCTCCTACCCTCGGTGATCGGATCCACCCTTCTACGAGAGGTTATGGCTTCGATGGTGATCGTCGGGTTTGTTTCTTAATAACACCCCTGCGGAAATTCATTTTAATCCCTGAGCATTGGCGCGCGAGGCTTTCTCAATGTGGAATTTTTTAAAATCATTATCGTAAAAAATATTACGAGATACGTCGAATATTATGTATTAAAATGTCAATAATGTAAATAAAATGCATACTCTTATATATAGTTTTTAAATGACTGACATGTTGCGTACATCCTGCGTCATTAGCGTCACGAAGATATGCGCCAGTGCTTAAGGATTAATTATCTATTTTTTTCTTGTGATATATTGAAGATCGAATTATATTAATGCATTTTGAGGAATAAAATAGTAATATTTATCAATTTTTCTCTCATCCTTAAAATTGTTAAACAATTTCCGGATATTTGTTTACAGATGCATTTTTTAAGCTTTATTTTTTTCTTGTTTTTTTTTTTTCTCTAAAAGCAGGATATCTATTTGATTTTAAATGCAGAAAGAGAAAGTGCAAAAAGGTAATCAAAACAGATATATTTATAGTTTTTGCCATGTCATTGCCATCCTGTTTATGATACAATTAAAACGATCGTTAAGTCGTACAATATTGACTCGCAAAAAATTCGCATATTTATTCGGGAAAGACTGAGGGGATAAATTAACGACGATGACTTAGCTACGGTAAATTATATATGAATTTGCCAATATGACAATCTAATGGATAGATAGCGTTATTATTTTATTGTAAAAACATTCGCGTTATCGTATATTTTCCGCTAATACGCTTTCCGTATACTGTTCGCTTTTTTCATTTTTGAGTTACCTTGAATGACAGTTGGGTAATAGCGTGCCGATAATATATGACAATTATCGCTTTTCTATCATTTCATGTTCTTGTGATTTACATAAAAAATTTAAAAACAAAAGTAAGTCGGGTCTACAAATTTGATTTGCGATTTTTCGATTTTACAAGTGATGTATCCATGGACTTTACAAATTATGTGCTCGATTCATCCTTGTACTATATGTATAACTTTTAACTCGTATTTAATGCAGATCATATATGCTCTAATTAGTACAATAAAATATTTCTGATAGGTATTGTCGATAGATGCAAGAAATACTAAGAGAGAAAGAGAGCTTTCTCAGCTGTTTACATGGACTCCTTTCATCTCTCCATGTCCTGTGTTACGAAAGTTAATTGTGTGAACAATATAACTCTCGATCTTCTTATCTTTCAAATTCATCACTTCTGTGAGAACGAGGTGTGCGTAATTTAACTAGAAAGTGTGGCTCGGCTTATTTGTCATTTTGACATAAAGTCGTTTGCAAAAACGATTATACGAATCTTGCACAAACGGGTAAAAAATTAATTGACGATTATTGAAGTCTGAGCCGTGTGTGTGATTAGAGAGCCGTAAGCTCTCGCGGCATTGCTGGGTAAAATATATATCCCGCGATGTAGAATGAAATTGTATCTTATACTTTCGCGACTGTGCAAAGGAAAACTGCGTTAAGGAATACATATATCAGGTCTACCGGAAAGTTCTGTCCGTTTTTGGAATAAAACAAAATACAAATTTTTATTACCGTCAATAAACTTTATTAAATAATGTAATTGCAATTATTATTAATGATTTCAGGAAAGCGTGAATGAGACTGGCGTTTATGGCTGTTATAGGCCGATGCGATCGCGAGCTTCCGCTCGCTTATTAATTCGTTAATTAGTCCGTACCCGGTGACGAGGATTTCTTACTCGATAATTAGTTCGGTCAATTAACGGGTGGCCTTAAACTTTCATGAAGTTTTGCTGTCAGAACGGTTTCCACGATACGTATACGGTAATTTCACACAATTGTACGATTATCGCACGGTATGTTCAGTTTGTTTATGTATCTTAGCGATCGAAATATATAAGGCGAACGTTTATATTTTCTATTAGTATTGTTTGCTCGTTCAAATATTGCTTGGAAAGATACGGAACGTGGATTATGAAACTTGACAAGAAATTTCGAGATTATCTCTTTTCTTAATTTTGATGAAAAGCCTCTCATCGAAAATTTTCACATGTATATATTTTTCTTCGTTACGAGAAAATAATTACGAGAAAATAAGAGCAGGTTTTTAATAGAAAACAGAATATTTATTAAAGTCCATTAATCAGTACAATGTAAAAAAAGAATGAATTGACTATATCTATATTATATCTATATTAATATGTTCAAAGAAACGAATTCACTATATGTAGCGAATGCAAGTACGCTGGATAAGACTTGCTTGGATCAAGTTGGAATGATTTTAGCAAACACAGACGATAAATATATCCGTATGGCATGGCCTCGGATAAAAGAGAGAGAGAGAGAGAGAGAGAGAGAAATATTCAAAATTCAAATTGAGCTTGGATCTCGTAAGAGAGAAAGAAAGAATTGAAGGTTTCTCACCTCTCTTTGCTTTCATGAACAATGCTTAACAATTTTTTTGACATGCAACGCGAGCAACAGCAACAATGCTTCAATATTCCAATTGGCCGAGACTAGTTGATAATATCGATTTTTATTATCTGTCGATGAAGAATCTTTTTCTATACATGATTAAGATGTAAAATTAAACTGACACACATCAAAATTATTAAAATATCTATATTTAAATATACATAACAAATAAAAAAGAATGTATTAATTTAGAAAATAGTATTTTCTATTCTAAAGAAGTTTCTGCAAAAATGTTTAGAATATAATGAATAAGAATTTTCAACATAAAAAAATATATATATGTATTGAAATGTTAAAATAACACTATAAAACTTTAGAAAAAAATTGTAGTGAATCGCGGAATTAATATCTTTCTGCGCCTTCCGTGATATTCGGGGGGGTATGCTAAGGATATTACTGTCGTTCATAAATAGAATTATCTTTCTCGCAGCAGCCGCCCCATATGACCGCCGCCTATTTACTGAAATATCTCGGTAACTGTTGTACCTTGTTGCAGTTGCTGCAGTTTATGTTGAGGTTGCCACACACATACACGCCATAAGTACTGATCTCTTGATCCTATATTCGAACTTTGTTGTCCAAAAAGGAACAATGAAAAACTATATAAATTCAAAATTCATTTCGAAGGAAAAAAAATTGATCTATGTAGCATCTTTTATATATAGAATTAAATTTAAATAAATTAAAAAAGAAAAAATTAAAATTGATCAAATTAAAATTGATTAAATTAGAAATAATTTAACTTTGTTCATATCTTTGTGAGAGAGATAATGTTAAGGGAATTTTTTATCTATGATTAATCCAATTCAGATTGATTGCCATAATTTCATATCCATATCCTAAGATATACATTATTTTTTGAGCTATGGATCTTACATGGTTGCCAGGAATAGTTTACGACCGATATATCCTATCTATCGATCACGCGGCGTTCTTGAGGAACGCCATTGTTAGCTTTATCCCTGTCTAAATATAAATCGACTCTACGTTTATTCTCGCTGTTTTCTATCTTTATTTTGTACGTAGGAACATAAAATGCTAAGATGCATTAGTCTACAATGAGTGAATCGATATCTTGATATATCTCTTTTGTTGATTAAATCGGAGTTTTGCGATCGTTTTGTTCTGATACACCGAATTCAAGAGGCAGAAACGGTCTTAACTAAAAACAGCTTTATGATAATAAAGGAAAAAACCATTGTGAGTTATCAAGATAGTTATTGAAATGTCGATATCGGAGAAAAAACTAATCACTTAAAAATATTTGAAAAATTAGAGGAAAATAATAATAATTAATAAAACTGCAACAATTCGGTGATATTTAATAATAATTTAACAATTTAATACAATTTAATAATTTAATTACTTAAAAATTAGAGATTTCTACGTTTAATAAAAAAAAAAATGAGAAAAATAGTACGGTAATAACAAAAATGCTTGTACGATAAGAGCATACAATTAAAATATTGTCATAAATGTAAACATTGTTATTTAAAAACTCCGCACGCATATAATCTTGTTCCATCTTTAAGTTTATAATTTATAATTTTCTCCTATCAATGATATATATTTTCGTGTTTATAATTCTAAAAGGGAAACGTTGTTATACATTCAATAGCGCACAAAAAATAATTTTTAAAGTAATTAGTTTTTTAAAAATAATTTATCATAATTTATTTTTAACGAAAAAATTTAACGGAAAAAATATACATATTTCTATATGACAATAGCAAGCTAGTGATATATAATATTAAATGTATCTATTAAATAATAAATAAAAAATATCACAATAAATTAGGAAACGTAATATCCGCGAAATTGATAATAAAATTAAACTAATTATCATTAGTTTGTATATATTGTCAATCAATTTCGCGCAACTAATTGCGATCGCATTTTATATACAAGAGGCTTCCTAAATCTTTTAATAAGCTTTTAATAAAATTAATTAATATAACTACTGCCAGATCGTAAATTTGAAAAGAGGAACTTGCAATCAACTGTATGTGCAAATTTTGATTGCGCTTGGTTGTTCAATCTTCTCGAGAAATAAACATATCTTAAATAACATCTCCTAAAAGTTGCGATTACGTCATATGATCTTGACATTCGTGCTCGAAGTTCTTGACAGGTTTTTCGTCACGAAACGTTCATCACCGTGGAAATTAATGATCAACGAAGAATCATCGAAGCGTTTTCTCACGCATTGCCCATCGCTTTGAATCTTCGTGACGATCTTCGTAACGGTCGGATGCCGCGTAGATTTCCGTGTTTCCTCGTTGCGCTTCCCGTACTTCCCTTGACTCTTCTCTTTCGTATCGTTCACGATGTTGTCCATATCTTCCCGATTCGATGTCTTATCAGCATCTTCGCACTTCTCACATTCTGGTATCTTCCTGACAATTTTTTTATGCGAATACGTAATTTTTTCTACGTGATCGGTTTCCCTATTTTGTTCTCCCGAGGATCCTTCCGATCTCATGTTCGAATCGAGAATTATTTTCCCACCGTCGCCCACGAACTTCACCTTCTCTTTAGAAGAGTCCGGTCCAAGGAGGACACGACCACCGTCACCGGTGTATTCGATATCGCCCACGTTGTGATTCACGTTCAACCAGCAACCATCACCAACGATGTGCACGCTGCCGGAATTTTTCGACAGGATGATCCGACAACCGTCGCCCATGATCTCCAGCATGCGATGATTCGAGTGCATCCTGACGACGAGTCCGTCGCCGTGGAATCGCTTGATACCATCGTCTTCAGCGGAAGAATGCTCGCAGTGTCTCATGGAAGCGCTCTTACTCTTGCGTTCTTTTATCTTCAATTCCAATTGATCGTCCACGCGAGAGATCGTCATCGGAACTGGCGAATTGTCACTAATAGATGTGACACGATAAACAGAACAGTTATCACAAATTACTATTATTATCCAACGTTGTTGAATGACTTGTTACAGTAATGTGCTATTTAACTACTAATCAGGCTTTTTCTTCTTTCTCGATAAGATTTCTTTTGTTGATTCTATCCTTCGTGACGGAGATGTAGAAGATATATCCCGCGTTTACGGACAAGTGTATACCAGCTGGGAAGAAACAGTCGTGGGTCCATACGAGTTGTTTACGTTACGACGAACGGCGTGATACGACTCCGATGCCTATGCGATGGCCGCGTAATAACGAACGCATATGGTCGGCGGTGGTGGCGACGGGTTCTTCACCGAGTAATCGGCTCCGGCTATCATCGCTCCTCAGGGGACTTCCCTCGAGATCTTCCGGAGCGGCGAACGCGTTCGGCATACTCGTTCGCAGACTTGTAACTAGAAGTTGCGGTGCCTTTAGCGAACTATTTTCGATAGACTTGTTTTTACATAGTATACGTCACAATATACGTGTAAAGATGAAATCACATATTAAGATACATTGAAGAGAAAAAAGTAGAGAGGTTTATGAAATATTGTATATTCTTCTATTTCTTGCTTTTTTTTTTTTTTTTTTTAAGTAGATTAGGAATGGAACGGAAAATCGAAGTCGCTGTCG